TTGATAATTATCGAGGCCAGTATTTTAGATACTATGTTTGTTAAACTAATCCCTCTGTGGTTGTCACAGGATGATTTTGACCCTTTCTTATATATTGGGACGATAAGTGATTGCGACCAGTCAGATGGGATAACGTCTAACTCCCAGATCTTAGCTAAAATATTAGTCAACCTAATCGCTAAAATTGGACCACCATCCTTAAAGACTTCTGGAGCCAGTCCATCTGGACCAGCTGCCCTTCCTCGTTTCAGATTAACTATAGCCTTCTCAACTTCAGCAAGAGTTGGGGGACCTACTTCAATGTTCCATTCACTCTGTCTGGGAATGGAGGGTAGTTGTAGAGTAGCTGAAGGCCAGCTGAACTGTTCTCTAAAATGTTCCGCCCATCGTTCTAAACGTCTGGACTGGGAGCAGATGAGAGTATCATCTTTTTCCGAAATAATCTCACTTACACTTGACTTATTAGTTCCAGTTTCTTTTATTAGTCTGTAAAGCTGTCTTGTGTTCCCTATAGTCGCCGCCTTTTCCATCTCTTTTGCTTTCGTTACCCACCACTGCTCACGGTCGTTCCTTAGACTTTTTCTTAACCTAGATCTGATTTGTTTTCGCTCTTCATCATGTTCAGAACCTGATGGGACGAGTTTGCGAGAATCCATCAGTGTGACAGACCTTGAAGAAATCCACTGGTTCCTTGTAACTCTGTGGTTTAAGTCACTAACAGATGTCACTGCTGTTTCCACAGCTGCTTGTATGTCCTTCCAAGCAACATCTGGGTCAGCCTCGTCTTCACAACTAACTAAGTGTGACCTCAGTTGTTCCTGGAACCTACTTTTGGTTTTCTCGTTACTCAACTCAGTTCTAATGGGTCTTTTTAATGTGGCTTTTTTGCGTCCAGTGAGGCGCAAGCAGATGCGTGCCCGTATTAGGGCATGGTCGGAGTCCAAGCAGGTACTCCAGAATGAGCGACAATCTTCTACCGACCCTCTCCAACGATGACTGATGGCAATATGGTCTATTTGAGTCCATCGTTGGTTTGGTGTAGGGGGTCGCCATGTTAGACGATGTCTCTCCTTATGCTTAAAATTTGTGTTTGCTAAAAATAAACGATTGTCTGAGCATAGCTGCAGCAGACGATCACCATTATCTGTTCGCTGTGTCGGAATACTAAAATATCCACCTAAATGCCTTTCTGTTTGGTTTAAACTGCCTATCTGAGCATTAAAATCACCTGCTACGAGTACTATGTCTGAGCGTTTAGCTTTCTGAAGAAGTTCGGATAGCTTTCTGTAAAATTCATCTTTCACTTCATCTGAGCTGCAGTCAGTGGGAGCGTAGGCAGAAACGACAAAAAGGCAACGACGTGTGTCCCTATCCTTCCGAGTTCTTACGTAGCCGTTCAGCCGAACAGCACATAGACGACTGTTGACGGGGATCCACTCTAGCAGTGCTTGTTCGGCCCTCATGCTTAGTGCTATGCCTACACCTGCCAGTCCACGAGAACTTGCCATCGGGTCACCAGACACACGAAGGGTGTATCTCGTTGGCTCTCCGTCTTGCCGAGGTGAGGTCAAGTGAATGACCACACTGGAATCCTGTATGCGTGTTTCGGAGACACAGCATACATCAATGGAAAGAGACTCTAGGGTTTTAGCCAAGGAAGCCTGCTGACCGATTTGACATAGGGTGCGTACGTTGAAGGCTCCAATGTGTAGTTTGGAGCGAGGTTTCAGTAGACCTGGGACAGTGTTTTGCGCACTAGAATCGTTGGCTACGGTGACACTTGAGGTGGAAGCCGAGAGAGGAAATACAGAGTTGAAAGTCGATGTAGGAGGAATAATAGGAATTGAAGAGGAGGTTGATTATGAATACAGTGGACTTGAGTGCTGTTAGAAGTATGAGGGCGGTTATCACTTCCCGGTTGCCCACACCGTGGAAGGGTTGTTCTGGAGGTACCTGAAAAGGAAATTGGATTAAAGGTGGTCTTAGTGAACTGAGAGCGTGACCGCAGTGCCCAAGGGACAACTGCTTGAGGTCGGTCACACACGACCTTGTTATGGGTAATTTTTGTGTTAGCTCCGTACTTATTGAGACCTTACCGCCGGAGACGGATATCCGTGGGATAAGGCGAGGTGTGCATTTTTAGGGTCGACCTTTTCTAACCCCACCCCTCCTTGTGGGAAGGCAGCATCGCTGTCATGCTGGTTGTCTGAAGGAAACACCTTACTGCTGTCACACCTCTGTACAGTCAGCAGTACGACTTCGCCTTCGGACCTTGGGTTTGTTGCTTTTAGTCTTACCGCTCTTCAACCGACCTGTCTGACATGGTAGGACCTTGAGGAACGGTTGTTCCAGCCAGTATAGCTCGGTTGCTTCATCACGATAGGCAAGCCCGACCACCACGTCAAGGTAGCAACAACGGTCGGGATACCATCAGCAACAGCCTACTGTGGGAGAGAACAAACCAGCTTTCAGCTGAAGAGGAAAATAGGGAAAGACGTTGTAAGTGGATAGGACATACATTGCGCAAATCATCAAACTGCATCACGAGACAATCTCTAACTTGGAATTCTGAAGGGAAGCGGAAAAGAGGAAGGTCGCAGAACATATTACGTCGGAAATAGAGGCAGATATGGAAAGGATGACTGACAACTGGAAAGGATTTCCCAGGGCAGGGTTGGATGGAGAATGCTCCCCCACGAGGAGTAACAGGAGTAAGTAAGTATGTAAGAATAAATAAACGAAAAGATAACCTCAGTTACTGATTATGATACATTCAATCTGTTATAATCCCATACTACTATTTTGCTAACTGATTTCGCAATGTTTTATCATTTTGACGGTTTATTGAGCTTTTGTATTACTTCTTTTCACATAAATATACTTCTATTCAATTTCGTACTTTCATTTCATTTATCCACTCAGATTACATCATTCAGTTTAGTAAATGAATATTATGGATATCGATTTGTCTTAGAAACAAATATCAGTTGAAAGGTTAATTAAGAATTAGAATGGACTAGAAAAGATCTTTATCCTCAGGAGAGCATAATGAAACACAATGTTTAATTTGTTCTATTTAGGACTTATGAATTCTGTATGTGAATATAATGACATGAGTGGCCTAATAAAGATTAGAAAACTTAAATATAACCCATTAGATTATTCGGTTATAACAACCATCTCCTTTTTATACGATAGTGAATAAAATTTAAATAGGATGTTTCTACCGTAATTCTGTAGATTAGTGATTGCGTTTGAAATGTGTTGGAAGCAATAGGTATCATATATTAGATCTGAATAAAAGATCGATACATACGGAAGATCAAGAATATTTGAATGCAAAGTTCCAAATCGGTAAACACAGTTATAGGATTTATAATTTGGTCTAATGGTTAAGCACTCGCGCCCGAGACTGATAGGCCCTGGATTCGAATCTTGCACGGAGGGATCGTGGATGCGCACTGCTGAGGAGTCTCAAAGTAGGATGAAACGGTCGTCTAGTGCTTCCAAGTTTTACATGGTGGTCTAGCTTTAATTGACTCATGATCTCAACTATTAAAATTACTATAATATCCACAAAACCCCTTCTGATATTAAAAATTAGTTATTTATACTGTGAAGCATTCGTATGATATCTTATAATAATTGTTTGCTTAATTAGCCCTCCTCCATTTTTTTGAGTAAATTTGAGTATAACCAACATTTATTATAAGTATTTCCGATTCTTAGTAACTATTAGTTTGGTATTTGAGGCTCATATGAGAAAGTATCTATTCAAACGTCTGAATCAGGTTCAAGGAGAACTACTACTGACAGATAAATCGATGTACGCATAGTGAATTATATCATATAAATCAGAGTTGGAAAAACCCTGAGTCCAAATTAATGATGCACATGAGCTCCAGGATCTTGAAGCAACAAATGGCGTATGAAACAAGTCATTGGTCACCGGTTACCATGTGACTGCATCTTCTTACCTTGCGCCACTGCCTTGTGGATCAGACCTTTAGGTCGAAGGCTCCACTTGTGGTCCTCTAAGGAAACCAGCTGCTTCAGTCTGAACACCCGTGCAGTATCACAACCCACACACAAATCAATTGAGTTGTGTGGTGCATAGGTATTCGGTGCCCTTTGTGCCAATGATAATACAAAGATGATATGAAAATTCACGACAAAACCTTCAATAAAATATCTTTATCAATGTTTGTCTAGTTCATTCCCTTTTTTCCTACCGCGAAATCTTACAGCAGTTCTCCTCTTACTGTATTGTAAACATCATAGTCCAATGTCAGTCAGTCAACTACAACGCAGGACCAGGCAAATATATACATCGGTTCAACCTGCCATACCTCATTAGCACAACAAGATGAACAACGAATTCATAGAAGTGGTTACTTCAATGGTAGTAATATATAAAGGAAAGATCGTGTATAAGGATATATTACACGAAGAAAGAAAGATATAAAGCAATTTTAATCTCATAGTTGAAGGGAAGACAAAGAGTGTATACACCGACGACGCCATTGTGATCGATTGTCAAACACATCACCCACAGTCTCCAATCATTTCTTACAATAGTCACGCGGACCGCAACCAAGTAGTCTTCATCTATCAACATGGCTCAAACCAGAAGTTAGTGACTTTGATGACTGATGCCACATTTTGGTTTGCCCACGCCTAATTTTCTTCCAACCATCCCAAACACTCGTCAGCATTGCGCATCATGGTAATCGGTGTTCAGGCATACGTAACACGTGACCCAACCATAAGAACACATACCCTTACATAATCAATATTACATAGTTACATACATGAAATAAACAACACACATACAAATGTTTGTTTGTTTGGTTTTCCAATCTATTTGATCTAAATTCAATTGACTGAATGAATAATAGGTACTTCTTATTTATATAAAGTGACAATACTACTTATTTTCTTTAGTAGTAGTATAGCAGTAGTATCTAAAGAATTTAGGGGAAAGAAAAACAACAAAGGATCTAATCAATAAATAAAGATTATCTATTACGATTGCACAGATATTTTTTTTCTTTCTTTAGAAATATGGGAAAATTTCGTAGTTCAAACCATTGGTTAGGTAATAATAATAACGATAATAGTAATATGAATAGTACAACAAATGAAAGAATGAAAGGACATAGAAGAAGAAGAAGAAGAAGAAGAAGAAGAAGAAAATGTGATAAGAGTAAACACATTGATAAAAATATTTATTTATTTTTTTTAGAAAAACAAAAAACACAAACTAACAAGGTTAAAAGCAATAACTAATTTAGTTGTACATGGCATAAACAATAATTTTCCTGATATTTTTTTAGTTTGCTTGCATGTATGTATGTGTGTAGGGGGAGGCGAGAGAGCGAGAGAGAGAGAGAGAGAAACAAAGCGTAAAAGGGGGAATCGATTTGTAATTTGTAAAATGAATAACCAATGAAACAACAACGAAAAAGAGAGAGAATAATCGATAATCAATAATGATAATAGTGATAATAGGAATAGAAACCATTTTGAAAGATAAATAGAATTAACATTTATATAGGTTATTGATTGTTACTATCTTGGTGATTGATGTTTACTTTATTCTAATCTTCTTTTTTCTTTTCTTTTTTGTTTGTTTATTGTGAAGACATTTCATTGCATTTCAATAATAAACAAAAACTTGTTAAATAGCCATTTTGTTTCATCTATTCCGTAGATGGAAATAACATTCAAGTATCTATCTATATTTTTTTAGAATCATTCAATAATATAAATGATTATTGTTTCTTTGAATAAAGAAAACAAAACAAAGGAGTAATCAATACAGATTTGTTTGTTTTTCTTTGAATATTACGATCTTCCATAATTGAAAACTTGAAACGAAATTTCAAATGAATGAATTGGTGGGAAAATAGCAATAAGGGATTAGTTGTTATTTATGCTAATCATAGAGATAGTAACCAGGGTAACAGTGTTTGTTCTTGTTGTTATTTCAAATAGACAATAATTGTCAATAATGAATAATAATAAGAAGATAACAAAACAATTCATGCCTAGGTTATTTGTAAGCTAGTTATAAACAAATAATTTACTTATTGTTTATCAGTAGTAGTAGTAGTGTAGTTTCAGTTGTTTTACTGAAACCGTTCTCTTTTTTCTTTTTCGTCTTTCACTTTAGGAATTTAAAAAAGAGAAAGAAAGAAAGAAAAAGGAAAAAACCAACAAGAGCAGCATATCGAGGAGATTTAGAGAGAGAAATGAAGTAAAGCACATTGGATAATAATAATAATAAGTCATTATTGATAATTTCCTCATTAGATAGATATTATTGGCTAAAAGAAGCGAATATGAGGAAAACGAAAAGAGAAACATATAGGCTTGTAGGTTTGTGTGTGCTTTACATCATACTTGTTGCTCTCATTCCTCTATTTGAAGTGACAGATAATTCACGTGCTACTGAAACAGCACGTCCACCTGGACCAACACGACGTACAGTTACTGTACGTTCAGCCATATCTGCACGATGTTCAGCTTCTTCAATTTGTTGTTGTGCCTTACGATATTTATTCATTGTAATTTGTGAAACTTCTTCCTGTAATTAGAAAAAAAGTTAGGTATATTTATTAAATTTTAATAGTTGAATTTATGAGTCATAGAAGCTGGACCACCATAGAAAACCTGGAAGTACCGGACTGCCGTTTCGTTCTAGTATAGGACTCCTCAATAATGAGATTCGAACCTAAGACCTACCAGTCTCGCGCACGAGCGCTTTTCCACTAGACCACTGAGATGGCCAGCATCCAACGGTGTTAATGTCTAACCTCAAGTAATCCACGAAATTGCGCCACCGTCCACCATTGTCTTAAGCGAGTTACTATGTCACAGCAGACCCGGTTAAATTCCACTGGTCACAGTTTCTTACTAGAGCTTCAGGACATACCTCTTGGAGACCGTCACTGGTGAGCATATGCTGATTAGTATCAGAAGAGGTTTTTGTGGATATTATAGTAATTTCAAAAGCTGAGATCATGAGTCAGTTGAAGATAGACCACCATGGAAAACCTGAAAGCACTGGACGGCCGTTTCATTGTAGTATGGGACTCTTCAACAGTGCGCATTCACGATCCCATCTCGTAAGATCCGAATCCAGGACCTATCAGTCTCGCGCTCGAACGCGAGTCAGCTATTAAAGACCACTATAATATTTATTAATCTTTTAATAAAATAAATAAAACATCTTAATAATAAGACTATTCATTGAAATATTTAAATTACTTACCATTTCTTCCAATTGACGTTTATATGCTTTCATTTTCATTTGAGTTTTATCTAATAAATCTTGAAGTTCCAAAACCATACGACGATCATCTTCAGCTTGTGTTTGTAATTCTTTATACTGACGTTCAAATTTACGAGCTTGAGCTAATGCATCTTTACATCTTCTTGATTCACCATCGAATTCTGCTTCAAGTTCACGTACACGTGCCTATAATATATATATAAAGGAATATTAAAAGATATCAGTCATCTCAGAGATAGATTTTAAGTTGATTATACACTTCATGACATCCATTCATTACATCACAATTAGACAGAATTTAATATTCTGAAGCAGCTTTAAGTGAATGTTAACCTTCCTATACAGAAATGTGATAACTATGCCGTGTCAGGTTAAGCTAAGAGATCCGAAACATAAGTTACTATGTACATAGTATCTCATTATATCAGGCTTTGTTTTCTGATTCAGAAGGCTCAAAAAAAGTCTACCTAATATAAGTGATGAAATTAAGAGTTCGATCTTCTAAGGTTTTTATTTTGGCTCGTACATTGTCTGTAAAATTGCTAACTGTTGTTTATACGTTAGAATGTGGTTAGCAGGATTACTAACTTACTTACGCCTGTTACTCCCAGCAGATCATAGACCGCCAACCAGTATTCTCCAACTCACTCTGTCCTGGGCTTTCCTTTCTAGTTCTGTTCAATTTTTATTCATTCTTCTCATGTTTGTCTGCATTTCTCAGCGTAATGTGTTCTTTGGTCTTTCTCTTCGTCTTTGACCTTGAGGATTCCAAGCGAGGGCTTGCCTTGTGACTCAGTTGAGTACTTTCCTCAATGTGTCCTATCCACTTCCAGTGCTTCTTCCTGATTTGTTCATCCACTGGAATCTGGTTTGTTCTCTCGCACAGTAGGTTGTTGCTGATAGTGTCTGGCCAACGGATCCGAAGTATTTTCCGTGGACAGCTATTAATAAACACTTGTAACACTTCACCTGGAGCCCCTCCGGGGCTACTGCCGGTCGCAAGCCCGGGCAAAGGAGGAGGGTTTGATATGGGGTTAGCGACCCCATCCCGTAGAAAACTAACTCGCTAAAACGCCAATCAGGTTAGCAGGATAGGTGTTTCATAAGATATTTACATATCACTACCAATAGGATCTTTCTGAATAGGTTCATAAAATTGTCTTAATTGAGAATATTTCGATAGATAAGCACTTTTTATATTCTTCTAGTTAATATCAACTCATTACACTAACATAGATTGTTGTCAGTCTTCATTCTGATAGAAATGCTCATTCTTCATGTCAACTTATACGTTTCTTTCTCATCTTCATCTTAATATCTTTTCTGTAATTGTGCTATTTATTCTTAGTTTAGACAAGTTAAACCAATTCAGTTTCTCATTTTAGATCTATATTGTATACCTTTGTTTATGAGTTTAAAACATGTTAGATATGAAGAGTAGAGATATGGAAGAAAATGAGCTGATTTACTCTTTCTTCATGTTGTTTCAAAGTAATAGAGATAAACACTTAGAATGATATGACTTCACAGTTATCCAAAGATAACGTTTTTGATTGAGATCATGAATCGATCGATGTTAGACCCGAATCGAAAAACCTAAAAGCACTGGATGGCCGTTTCGTTCTACTGTACGACTGTTCAGCAATGAACATCCACGATCCCACTTGCGAGATTCCAAACCAGGTTCTTTGGTCTCGCATGTGATCATTTAACCTCAGTGGTCTCCACAACGCCATATTGTTAAAATAAAGTGTAATTTGCGAGAGAAAAAAAAACATTAATTCACCTGTAATTTTTGAACCATACGACGACCTTCACGAGTAGCAAATGCTTCAGCTTCTTCTAATTTTACTGTAATCTCACGAATTTCAATTTCAAGTTGTTTTCTTAAAGCTTCAGCATGTTTATAATTTTCTTGTTCTTGGCGTAGTTCATCTGCTAAACGTAGAACTTCATTATTTAGTCTAGTTGCTCTATCTTCAGAAGCCTAGATTGGTAAAAAAAAATTTTCATAGTAAATTATATAACAACAACATTAGATTGGTAGAAAGTTTTAAGTGTTGCGATTATGATTTAACTAAATTTGGGACTCAAAAGAACTCGTTCTATGAACACTTTCGAAGATTAGATCTACGATTTTCTATGTTTATGATTGTCTTTGATGGGTTCAGTCAAGAAGATTTAAATTATTAATATTCTGTCATGTATTATCTTTAATGTTTGGAATTCCTTGGAGGTGGATACTTCGCCAAATAAACGTGTGGTCTACCTAATCGGTGTGCTGAATGGACCACCTTCGTTATCGCGTCATATTTTGCCCCCGAATGCCCTTGTACGACCGAGAGTGGGGAGAGACCACTCTACAAATGCTCTCACATGGCCACGCGTAAACAGCTAATGACACACAAGTCCTGCTCACTGCTTTTTCGCTGCATTACTGTTGTTCACGAAATTGAGAGAACAAAAGGCGAATGTCCGGCTGATTAACCGAGTTGATGGAAAGTCCATCTAGGGAAGTTGTAAAACCTGATTATAAACCAATGGTGTATATGGGCTCCAGGATCCTCAAAGAACAAATGGAATATGAACCAATCGTTCGTCACCGACTACCATGGACTGCATCTCCTGACGTTTCTACACTGCCATGTGGATCAGACCTTTACGTCGAAAGCTCGGGGTGTGGCCTTTTAAGAAAGCCACGTGCTTCGGTTTGGGCAACCAGGAAGTATCCCAGCCATCACACGAATGGAATGATTTATGTGGCGCATATCTTTTTGGTGCCTTCTTGTAAATATGTTTATGTGTGTAAATAAATAATAATTGTCTTTAATGTTTTGAATTTTTTGAAGTTAAATACATATCTAACGTCTACCATTAATAGATCCTAATCAAAGCTTTAGCAGTTCATTTTATGAAAATACTCTAAAATTGACGCAATTTGTCCTTACACACTATGAACTGTAAAATATTCGGTTAAACAATGACTTAAGGTTTAAGACGAATCAAATGTTTTCCATTTGTTTCAAACATCCATTTCATATTTGAAAGTAATAAATATCCAGAGAAGGATTTTTGTTGATATTACAGTAATTTTAATGGTTAAATTCATGAGTCAATTGAAGCTAGAACACCATGGATAACTTGGAATCATTGGACGGCTATTTCGTCTTAGTATGTGACACCTCAGCAGCGCGCATCCACGATCCCGCCCGCGATATTCGAACCTAGGACCTATCACTCTTCGAGAGGTCTCCAAGAAGTAATTCCTGAAGTTTTAGTGAGAAGGTGTGACCAGTGGAGTTCAACCGGGTCTATTGTGAGACTGTAACTCACTTAAGAAAATAATGGACAGTGGCGCGATTTCATGGGTTGGTTGAAGTTGGACATCGACAACACTGGATGCTGGGCATCTCAGTGGCCTAGTTGTTAGGCGTTCGCGCGCGAGACTGATAGGTCCTAAGTCCGAATCTCACGAGGCGGGATTGTGGATGCGCACTATTGAGGAGTCTTATACTAGGACGAAACGGCTGTCTGGTACTTCTAGGTTTTCCGTGTTGGTCCATCTTGAGTTGACTTATGAATTCAACTATCAAAAAATATCCGTCAATGGACCAGCACTTTATTTTAAGGACTGACAACGATACTAAAACTTACAAGGATAGCCATTCATAATTAAAATCATAAGGATAAACTGATTTAAGATTCATGGAATAACTAAGAATCTAACTTCTATATGAAGTAAGCATTGATGATGTTGTCCAGGATGACAGTGAAAGTTTCTCAGTTGCACTCTGTTGCTCCGAGAATGCATGATATGTCTGAATGCTATTACAAGTTCACCTTACTCGGTAAACGGAACGAAGGTCAAAGATACAATGACACGATAGGCTATTCTAATCCGTTGTCCGCAGCCCTACTAACTACATCAACAAGTTTTGATGAGGTGTAGAGAATGTATTCTACACGCACCCATAAAATACGAGGTCACTAATCACATAACTCAAGCTTATTTATACAATGATAGAAACGTCCTTGGGAGAGCCACAAAATAGCGTACTAAAAAAATTCGTCAACCAATGACAGTCAAGGTTCTCCGGGTGAGAAATTAAGCTGTAGGTGAACTAAGCGTCTCTTAGCGCAAAAACATAAAATTCAAATTTTCAGGATAAAATTACAAAATTAGGATCTTTTCCAAGTGAATTCTTTGGATCTAACGTCCTCAACAATGTAATAACATTAAAATATCACATCGTAGTAATGTATAAATTATCTGGATGTAAAAGGAGTCAATAGATCAAAACACTATTATCACTAACAAGAATGTAATACAAATACATCTTGGTAAATCTGGACAACTTCACCATCTTCTATTGATACATGAATTTTTACAACAGAAATATATCAAAAACACAAGAACACTTTACCTGTTTAGCATTAATAGCATCATCCATATCAGCTTGCATTACACTAATATCACCTTCAAGACGACGTTTATCATTAGTTAATGTATTCACTTGCATAGTTAATTCACTAACACGTGATTGAGCTTCTTCAAGTTCTGTTTCAGCATGTTTACGTAAACGTTCTAAATTTTCTAATGTACTACGTATTTCTTCAAGTTCATTTGCTAATTGTAAACGTTTATGTTCAGTAATCTAAATATTAAAAAAATGTTCAGAAAGAATTGATTCAGCAATAATAATAGTTCAATGATGTCAATTATAATACTTGGATCAATAAACGTAACGATGACACTAAAAAAGAATGATCTTAAGCTCCAGTGTTATTCAGACAGTATTAGAGGGGGATACTGCTCGAATGCCCAGACCGAAACAGGTGGTTTTCCCAGGGGGCCACAACCTAAGCCTTCGACCTAAAGGTCTGATCCACAAGGCATTAAAGCAACGTTAAGAGATGCAATTCCATAGAAGCCGGTGACCAACATTAGATTCAAACGCCATTTGTATTCTTAGGATCCTGGAGCCCATATAGAATGAAGGTTTTTACAACTCTCTTAGGTGGACTGTCCGTGTCCACCAACCCGATTAAAGCACTGGACATTCGCTTTTCGCCTTCTCAACTTCGTAAACAACAGTAATGCCTCGAGAATGCAGTGAGTAGGACATCTCTGGTAGTGATTTTATGGACGTGGCCATGTGAGAGCATTTGAAGAAGGAGAGTGATCTCTCCCCACTCTCGGCGGTACCAGGACATTTGAGGGCCGTACCAGAACAGTTTTTAAGTCTACTAAAGTTAAGTAAAGGTCCCGGTGTTTAACTAATAAATTAATGAGTATACTTTGAAATTGGTTGTTCTGGGGGATTCAAACACAGAACTTTGGTAACCAAACAGAATTATTACAAATAAAATTAAATTGTGGTCAATAGTGAAATCCAAGATGGTCTATTTCAACTTATTTGGAACGTGTCAAACTGATGAATCAGGTTCCTAGTGTTTATATTCACATTGAGAGACAATTCACTCAGGATGTATATCTTTCAATAAAATCCAACCATCAACTGAAAAAATATAAACCTTCACATATATCAATGGTACTGCTTCAACATTTACTCTTAGTTTCTCGAGATCGGTTCTTAAACTTATCCAAACATAACCAATAGTACCTCATACGTGATATAAATACACCAATACCAACTGATACCGATCAAATAATAAAAGAAAACTATAATAAGTTTAGCTCTAGGAGGCTAATTTGTCACTTATTTGAATGAACACAGCATAGATAAGCAATTTATGCTACAAATGAAACTTTTGTTTAGATCTATCTTAGTTTCAAAGCTCGTTTCTTAAGCTTTTTCTACACTTAAGCTTCTAACTGAATGTTAACTGACAGATTATTTAATCACCATTTATAATTCAGGTCTTAATGTGGAACATTGGGCAGGCATTGGCCATTGGGCAAGCATCCACGATCTTGCATGCGCGGCTCGAACCCAGGACCTTCAGTTTCGTGCGCGAACGCTTAACTTGTAGACCACAGAGATGGCCGTAATCCAATGGTATTAATGTGTAACTTCAACTAATTCACAAAATTGCGTGACCATCTTTCTGCCTGATATCAATTAGCATTGCTAAGGAGTCCCATACTAGAATGAAACATCCATCTATTACTTCGAAGTATTCAATGATGATCTAACATCAATCGATTCATGATCTTAATCAAACAACTTAATAATCTTCCCACCCACCCCCCACTGATAATTACGTTTAATGTAATTATATAAGATTGCCGGACATTATTAGCAACAACCTACTATGGGAGAGAACAAACCAGATCCCAGCGGAGGAAGAAATCAGGAAGAAGCGTTGGAAGTGGATAGGACACACATTGAGGAAAGCACCAAACTGTGTCACAAGACAAGCCCTCAAATGGAATCCTGAAGGCCAAAGGAAAAGAGGAAGACCAAACAACACATTACGCCGGGAAATGGAAATAGACATGAGAAAAATGAGTAAGAATTGGATGAAACTAGAAAAGAAGGCCCAAGACAGAGTGGGTTGGAGAATACTGGTTGACGGCCTATGCTCCATTAGGAGTAACAAGTGTAAGTAAGTAAGTAAGTAATTATATAAAATTGAATATATATACACCTTAAACTTTTTTGATTCACATACTTGTAAATTATTTTCTGCTGCTTCACGTAGACGACGTTCTTCATCTAAATATGTTTCTAAATCTTTAACACGTTGTGATAAATTTTTATTCTCTTTCATAAGATTTGCATTAGCTTTATTAGCAGTATCTAATTGAATTTCTAATTCAGCTATATTAGATTCATAACGTTTTTTTAAACGTGATAATTCTGATTTATATTTGACTTCCATTTCAGTAATTGTAACAGTTAATTCTTCAATTGTTCTAGTAGTACTTTTTCTGTAAGAAAAAAAGAAAGAGATAACAAATAGTTTCTAATCTAAATTACATCTATTGTTGATGATCTTTATGAATATATTGTTAGTGTCATTACCAACTAGGAGGGTGGAAGGGTACTGTTCTGTGGATGTCTTTTCGGGTCTGAATCTAAGGTACTAGTTGGGATAGTGTGATGCTAGAAGGTGACATCTAGTGGAGTGTTCTGTCGAGGTAGCGTTGGCTGTAGTGGGTAGTGTCGATGGAGAGGAACAGTGGGTTATGCGGCTGCTGACTAGACATTGGATGTGGATGGCTCAGTAGTTCACTGAAGCGCAGGTGTTGAACGTCCTGTATGCTGGGTAGACATTAGATTTCGGTGACTCAGAAGGTTGACTGAGCTATGTAGGTCAGCGCGCCGTGAGCTCGACATGTTAACGGAAAGTGGCACGGCGAGTAGAACCACTGCAAAAACGACAGCTTAAAAGCATGGACGAGTGTGGCACGTGTTACCGATGTCTGTCGACATCAGTAGTATGTATTTTCAATCGAAAGTGCAATGCCTGGTGGCAGAGGGTTAAGAAGATCGAAGAAAGAGAATGAGAACAAAGAATGATTGATGTGACGAAGAAAGAACAATGATATTTCGCAAATGAGTGAGTTATTATCAGGTGATGAACCGTTGTTCAGCATTAAACTAAATCAAATTGTTATCATAGAGGAGTATTATGGAGATTTTAGTAATTTAATAACTGAAATCACGAATCATTTGAAACTAGACCATCATGGGAAACCTGGAAGCATTGGACGGCGCACAAGAGTGATAGGTCCTGGGTTCGAAACTCTCGAGGCGGTATCCTGGATGCACACTGGGAAAGAGTCCTATACTAGGATGAAACGGCTGTCCAGTGCTTTCAGGTTTTCCATGATGGTCTATCTTTAATTGACTCGTGAATTCAACTAAAAAATCAAATCGAGTTGATTCAGATAACTGAATTTCGAAGACAACCTTAACAGTAATAAATTAAATGGACTCTTTTGGAAAGAAATGTAAGGTTAGTTGATGATTGTAACAAATGTATCGATTACATTATATCCTATGATTTTAGAAGAACGATCTTTTATAGCAGCTATGTACTGTATGAAGAGAAGAGACAGTGAAATATTTCAGGATGAAATGAAAGAATGATCACATGATCAAGACTACTCATTCCCTGGTTATCTACAATGTTAAATAACGACAGTCATATTGGAGTTTTACTTGACAAATGTTTCATGCTTTTTGATACTTGTCATTAGGGTTCATCTACAAACTTCAGGAAGTCTATCCTTCCATAGAGACAACAGATTGGCATCAGTAGAAATTAGCAACAGTTTTAAAGCTTTTGAATGTTCTGTTAAAGAAATCATAGTTGACCGAAACTAATAGCTCAACGGTTGTCATAGAAATGATTAAGTCTTAAACACCAATATAAATTAATCAATCATGTTTATCAAATCTTGACTGACTCTCTATGGTTTTTTCTGTCTTCATTATTATCTCTTTAATAGAAAAGAAAAAACACCTTACCTTAGACTTTCTAATTCTTCATCTCTTTCTCTGAGCCTTTGTTCCATTTCAGATTTCAAATGATTTAATGCAGCTTGTGAAGCTTGATATTTTTGATCCATATCATGTAAAGCTTCTTCAGCATCATGTAAAGCTGAAGCAAGATTATCTCTTTCAGCTTCTAATTGTGATCTTAATGCTTCTAAATCAGTAAGACGACGATTAGCATCACGAAGTGAACTTTTTAATTCTTTGACTTGATCTTGATTAAAAAAATAAAATAAAATTTAGATAATAGAAAATGAGAATCTTAGTGTTAATAAAAACAAATAAAAAAAGTAACTTAGTAGCTAAGTGGATTTGAAGCGGACGGTACTGGGTTCGAGTTACCAGAGTGAACATCAACTCTGAGATGCAGGTACATCCAGACGACGAGTCCCAAACAGGACAAAACGTACGTCAAAATGGATTCCACTGCTAGCCACTATCTATATTTGCTTATCAAGTTTCTGACTTCAGGCGATATTGAAGCAGTCCACAAAGAATGCACATATGTCAAGAAGAGACTGATCAATTACAGTCCTAAACATCAATGAGAAGATTCATGTAAGACGATACCATGTGGATTTAAAACTTCATCCAATTACACAAGCAAGTGGCTATCAGAATTCACTGGCTAGGTGGATAACGCGATGGTGTTTGAAGCGAATTGTACTGGGTTTGTGTTTAAAAGTGAACATCAACTCTGAGATGCAGGTACATCCAGACGGGTCGAAATGCGCCTCTTGGGCTCCACTGCTAGCCACTACCCGTCTTTGCTTATAATATAACTTGATTGTTATAACTTTTGACCTGAAATCATCAGTAAATGAACTGATAACCCAGATATACGTGAATTCTAAAACAGAACCTAACCATCTCGAGGCAATTTCTACCATTCTTTATCTATTGTTATGCGTCCACTACTGAAATTCTACAACTGACATAATACTTTGCAACTATTAATGCGATTTATATGAAATTATTCCTAATTGTGTATTTGTTGGGGGGATCCAGAAAACTCGAAAAAAATCCAAGCAAGGTCCTGAAAACACTGAGAATCATCTTATCCAATCAGCGTCTACTAGAAGTTTTGCTAGAAACATCTAAAAAGTGAAAGAGTGACATGTCGAGTTTCATATCGGATTATTACATATGCTGCTACTATGTTTAGTAGCATTCCGGAATTTTCCGGAAACACAAAGACATCTAAAATATCATAAAAAGCCTAGATTTTCTGTACATAAATGAAGCTTTGGAATAAACCAATCCTTCCATGTTTCGCGTCTTTTCTTTCGTATTCAAGTCTCTGTGTAGACTTAGCCTGTGGGGGTGGGGAGGTTACTGGAACTGCTTAGGAACCGAATCTAGTGTTCAATTAGAAGACTTATCAAAAACTCCTGTTTATTTAACAGAAAAGCATTTCTATTCATTTCATAATATATTCTGGTCGAGATGTTATTTTTCGTGGTATACAACAACTATACTGAGATTAGATGGTGGTTGGAGGTAGTCGATAGGAAATCCTGGTCCCGGGTTTCGTGCTACTTGGCATTCGTCAGCAGGGTGTACCTGTAATCTTGAGGGAACTGGTGCTCCCTGGCGGTGGCCACATTGCGACATGGTCGATAGCATTCGATCTACACTAAATAAGGACTTGACACGCATGACATTGTTCACCACCCAGTGATCAATCAATTGTGACAACAACTATACTATTTGAAATGTATCCAGGCAAAAAGAACAAACTCAATAAATGATTGAATATTCATTGTCTTAATAGAAATGTTCAAATAAACTATTTATTATCACTAATGCCATCAAAGGCGGCCCACTCGAATATATGAGCTACCTGTTCCTGTCATGTGAATATTTCAATAAGTTATCTGTTTCCTCGTTTATTTCAACAGACCATTATGTCAAATGATTGTATAACCTATTCAGGTGCTTTTCTCAAATGTGTACAACCTTTCGTTGTACAAGTTACAAAAGAGCCCAATCAGGGATATCGTAGTTTCTGAGAATATTCGTCAAAAAGAATATACATTATTTAGATGTCGACTTTTGGACTTCTGACATCCAACTGGCGAACACTCAATACGTTATTGTCAGGATCGATCAAGACGTAATAAATGGGAAACTTGTTGAAATACTTCGTACTGAGAATCCTATACTGTGATTAGATGGCGGTTGAAAGTAGTCGACAGGAAACCCTGGTCCCGGGTTTTGTGCTACTTGGCACTCGTCAGCAAAGTGTACCTGTAATCTTGAGGGAACTGGTGCTGCCTGTAGGATTCTACCTCGTGTCAACCAGCTTCACAGTCAGAGACGTTACCACTGAGCTATCCGAGCCGCGACCGACATCCTGTAGGACTGAGATGTAATCACAATTGATTGATCGCCACCCAGTGATCAATCAATTGTAGTTCTATATTGTACCAAATATATAATATTGAATAAAGCCACTAATAATAATAACTCACCATTCATTTGACGATTTTCACGTTCTAATGCATTATTTTTATCAGTTAAATCATTAACTAAACTTTTTAAACGAAGATTTTCACCTTCTAATTGACTATTTTGTGATGTTAATGTATTCACTTCAATTGTCAATTCGTCTACACGACGTTGTAATTCAGAAGCTAATGATTCAGCAGCTTTAGCTCGACGAATTAATTCACCATTTTCTAATGAAAGCTAGAAAAAAAGGTATAAATGAAGAGAAAGAGTATGGATCTATCAATGTATATCCAATGAGCATATACACTGTAAACTGAAACTTGTATATTCTTCTAGATATATTATTTTCATCTCAAGGTTTGAGGAATTATTCTTCAGCTTAGATATCCAGATAACTGACTTAAAAATGAAATAGAGTAGTTGAATACGTGTAACTCCACCTGTAGCTCTTCTAGAGTTACTACCAGTCCCGAAGCCCGGGTAAAGGAGTAGGGTTGGACATGAGGTTAGTGACACTATCCTGTAGAAAACTAACTCGCTAAAAAAAATGCTAACCAGAAAAGTTGAATATGTATAAAGCCACCACTTAAAAGGTTAATCAGTTAACAAAACTTGTTTGTAGGCAAGCTACGGTAATTCCTCTTGAAACATTAATATCCTATGTGGAGTTTGAATTGTAATTCTTTATGATTGAGAAATACGAACATTACAAGCGGATAATATGAGAAAGGGAAAGACAGCCAATTACTCGTATGAGGTTGAACTTCCAAATAAGTGATGTTAATTTTTTGCTTGGAAAGGAGTTAGAATTTAAGTTAGAAGCTGACAATCCAATCAATCCATGAAGTTTAGTCACCAGTTTGCATTGATATTTTCTTCATGTTTGAGATTCATGATATGACTAATTTCTGTGCTAAAAGAATTTCAGTACTGATATGTTTCGAATAATGATGCTATAGGGTCCGTGAAATGTCGCTGAGACCTAGGTAAATCATTCAGCGTTTGGGTCACTGAATATAGAGCAGATCGTCGATCCCTGTCAGGGTCGAGGACAACCAAGGCGCATCAGTTGATCGTATGCCATGGACTGGCCCATTCGGTTGTGGTCTCGCTATCTTCTCTGTACTCATTCTTAATAATATATTTTCATAATAACGTCCATAGTGTTATACGGCCTTCAGAGCAGCCACACTACTTTGATATGTCGAAGGAGTAATCCACATTAGATGCTGATTGCGAGGTATGACTTCGAAGTTAGCCAGTTAGTCACACCATTGTAAATTTCATGATGCATATTTTTTAAATAAAATTCCGCTACACTTAATAGTGCAACCAGATTCTTAGTAAATTATCTCAATATTTGTCTACTCCATTAAAAGCAATATATAGTGTAAAGAGAAACTCCGCCTGGAGCCCCTCTGGGGCTACTACCGGCCCCAAGCTAGGATAAGGGAGAAGGGTTAGGTATGGGGTTAGCAACCCCATCCTGTAGAAAACTAACTAACTAAAAAGCGCTTACCAGAAAAACGAATTCAAATCACTTAAACCCTGCCTTAGGAGTTAGAAGGTCTTTATTTAGAAGAGTTATGACGTCTCATGATCAAAGCCGAGTTCCTTCGGAAGTCATAAGGCTGATGCTCCTTCTGACAACCAGAGGAATCAATAATTTAGGTACATAGAATGTTCGTACAATGTGGAAAACAGAAAGATTCATATAAATTGCTGCAGAAATGAGAAGATAAAACCTGGAGGTGATTGGAATAGTGTAAAGAATATACTAAACTGGATTTTTTATCGCATATCTTTAAGTTATGTGAACTGATAAAATTACTATTACTGATTTTGACTAACTTAGAAATGTACTATGATTTGAGCATAATCTAATTTTTGTCTTCAGTATGAAATTGTCGGGATTGTCAAATTTCATTGAAATAATGAACTGTTCTAAATTAGACTACAATTAAGAATCTGAAAGCAATGTATGGTCATTTCATCTTAATATGGGACTCTTCAACAGTGTCTATTTTTGATTACATCACCCGAAAATAAATCCATGATCTTCAGTTTCGCGTGTGGATGCTTAATTTTCAACGTTTTGGGTTTCCGTTATTAACTATTCAATCTGGTATTTTCTTTAACACATCGATTACCTCAATTATCACTGATCGTTAAAAAAACCATTTCAACTGTTCTGGAGATGTATATTCTTTTTGGTGAAGTTTTGTTCTCTGAACTGGATGGTTTGGTCGTAAAGCTTTCATTGTTCTTTTGAACAACATCATCAGCACAAACTTCAGATAGGACGATGAAAGCTCCACAACCATACCATCCAGTTCAGAGAACAAAACTCCATCAAAATCATCCACCTGAGCTACAAATCTTCACCATCTCAAAACATATATTCTTTGCTTAATGACTTGAGTTTACTTCATTGATTAGTAAACAAGTAATATAGTGTATTGGTATCTCTTAAATGCTGTAGCTAAGAGTTATTTTGTGAGAATTTACGACCATTTTATGTTAAGTAACAAATTAGACAGCCATGACTAAACTTTTGGTTGCGGATAGGATAAACTACTATCTTGTCCAAATTTAAGTAATATAAATTAGTACTCTAAAATTAACTTTAAGTAATCACAATGTACTAGGTTTGACTTCAACTAGTAGTACATAATGAACTGAAATTCATGCTTGACATAAATATATTCAATACTATTGTTTATTTCTTCGTACTATTGTCAGAGAAGTTACCATTAAGTTATTTTGAGTACTAATACCTACCTTAACAATTAGATTATTCTAATCAGTTCAGTAACATACAATTAACCATCAGATATCAGTGTATCAGATGACTATTATATTGGCTTCAGAGGATTACTATTGTTCTAAATGTTCAACTTCTGTTTATATCCTTGTCCTTTGAAATTGAGATTTAGTTAAAGCATATTTACCCAGTAGTTTACAGGATTATGATAAAAGCAAAGTTGTTCTTCTTTCATTAAAGAAACTGCGTACAAATGAAACAAAGATCTTGTGAAAATCTATGATGCCCACAAATGCCCTGGTACGGCTGAGAGTTGAGAGAGTTCGTTCTTTCTCTCGAAATGCTCTCACATCGCCACGAGTATATACAGCCATTGACAGGGAAGTTCTACCCATTGACTTCTAGTGGCATTACTGTTGTTTACGAATTTGAGAGGACGAAAAGCGAATATCCAACGCATTAACCATGTTGGTGGACACGGAGAGTCTGCCTAGGGGAATTGCAAGACCCTCATTCCAAACCAATGGTGTACATGAGCTCCACGATCCTAAAGAAAAAAATAGCGTATGAACCAATCGTTGGTCACCGGCTACCATGATACTGCATCTCTTAACGTTGCTCCACTGCCATGTGGACCAGACCTTTAGGTTGAAGGCTCCGTGTGTAGCTCCCTAAGAAAATCACCTGTCTCGGTTTGGGAATCCGGGCAGTATCACAGGTGCACCTTTCTACCAATATTTATGTGTTCAAATGAATAAATACTCTATAGTAAGTTAGGTTGAAATATAACTTAAAATGCCTGCATAAATATGACAGTTATAGATAATTTGTTGGGTAGCTTGTTTTGAACAACGTTCCATGATTTTTAGTACTTCTTACTTAAACATACTTGCAGCACTAAGATCTACTGATTTCAAAGTGATTCGAATCTACATTTATCAGTCTTTGACGCTATGATAGTTATATTCCAAATAATACATAAGAAGTTCAAATACAATAATCATTTACTGAAAACTAACTTACGCTCTCTATTTCAGACTGTAAATCTTTAATTTCCAATGTTAACTTTGTTTTAAGTTTTTCTAATGATACCGCTTTTAATCGTTCTCTTTCTGCAGTATCTTCAAGTTCCGTTATTCTCATAGTTAATTTCCTCCTAAAACGAAAAAAAAATTTTAAAGCAATAATGGGTAGTGACTAGCAGTGGAATCCAAGACGCGCGTTTCGTCCTAATTGGGACTCGTCAACTGGCCATGCGTATACAGTCACTGCCAGGGAAGTCCTACTCACTACCTTCTCGTTGCACAGGTGTTATTTACAAAATTGAGAGGACGAAAAGCGAATGTCCGGCGCTTTAATCGAGTTGGTGGACACGGAGCTTCCACCTAGAGGAGTTGAATAACCCTGATTCCAAACTAATGGTGTATATGGGCTCCAGGACCCTAAGGGAAAAATGGTATATGAACCTAATGTTGGTCACCGGCTACCATGGAACTACATCTCCTGACGTTGCTCCACTGCCATGTGGATCAGACCTTCAGGTCAAAGGCTCCGATTGCGGCCCCTCAGTAAAACCACTTGCTTCGGTCTAGGCACCCGAGCAGTATCCCAGCCCACATACAAGTCGAATGATTTCTATGGCACATATCTATTTGGTTCTTCCTTGTACCAATGTTTATATGTTTAAATAAATGAATAAGTCAAGTCAGCATAAAGTATTTTATCATTATTAAAAGACTTAACGTACTTCATTTCCTCGAATTCTTCTGTTTTACTCATAAGTTCGCGTTCAAACTTAGATTTTAATGCAGCAATATCAGCGTTAAACTTAGATACTTGACTACGCAAATTACTGGCCTCTTCACTTTCTTCATCATATTTAGCCTGTAAATTATCATAATCCATTTGAAGTGATGTAAGCTGAGCTTGAAGATTGAAACGATTCTAAAAGATGAATAGAAAAATATAATGAAAATAATCTTTAGTTTAGTTAGAAGTAGTTGATATGAAATTCGAACTGACAACTTCGTGGTACTGTATCATCTTTCCAATAATCGACAAACAGATTCATCTGGAAAACACTTTCCATTTTAGTCAACATTATAGATCAACAGTTTTAGCTTTATGAACACAAGAGTGGATCAAGTCAGTAAATCTTACTTACTTACTTACGCCTGTTACTCCTCGTGAAGGAGCATAGGCCGCTCACCAGCATTCTCCATCCAACCCTGTCCTGGGCAATCCTTTCTAGCTCCGTCCAGTTGTCATTCATCCTTTCCATATCTGCTTCTATTTCCCGACGTAATATGTTCTGCGACCTTCCTCTTTTCCGCTTCCCTTCAGAATTCCAAGTTACAGATTGCCTCGTGACGCAGTTTGATGATTTGCGCAATGTGTGTCCTATCCACTTACAACGTCTTTCCCTATTTTCCTCTTCAGCTGGAAGTTGGTTTGTTCTCTCCCACAGTAGGCTGTTGCTGATGGTACCAGGTCAACGGACATTGAGTATCTTATGTAGACAATTATTTATAAATACTTGTATCTACTTGATGATGGTTATGGTAGTTTTCCACGTTTCAGCTCCCTACAATATAACTAACTGTCTTCACGTTCGCATTTAAGATTCTGACTTTGATATTGGTTGAAAGTTGTTTTGAGTTTCATATGTCTTCAATTGTAGGAATGCGACCCTTGCTTTGCTAATCCTCATTTTTACGTCTGCATCAGATCCTTCTTGGTCATCGATGATGCTTCCCAGTTATGTGAAGGATTCGACATCTTCCAGAATTTCGCCATCAGGTGTGAGTGAGTTGGTGTTCTCGGTGTTGTATTTGAGGACCTTGCTTTTTCCTTTGTGTATATTGAGGCCTACTGATGCAGAGGCTGCTGCTGCTGCTGCACTAGTTATTCTCATCCGCATTTGTTCGTGTGTATGAGATAGGAGTCAGTAAATCTATCATTTCATTAATGCTAAACTTATTCATCATGCTTGAAATGCTTCAAATCAATGGTTGATTAAAATATCACGTGATAGGGTGCACCAGTTGACTATTGATAACCTAACACATCACTATCATCTTTGCAGAAGTCTCAATCAATAAATTTATTGAGTGCATAGTACAATGTAGTATATGTATCTTTGTATTTAAGTTGTAGGTGAGACTATAATTTATGGACGACCTAAAAACGATGCTAGTCGGACTTTGAGAGTGTCCACCTAATAATTAGGACCAAATGAAGGTGATAAACCAGTGTGTGAGGAATTAGAATTATGATTTACAGTTGATGGTTAAGGTTAAGAATTAGATTTACGGTTTTTCATCACGAACCGATATCAACTATAATGCCAAAACTCTATTGAACCAAATGGATGGGTGAATATTGCGTCAAAATCTGAGACCTTTTACTCTTAAATCTGATTGGTTCGTCCACAAATCATAGTCTCGCTTCCAAAACCTTCTATCCTTAATCTGATTGGTTCATCCACAAATTATAGTCTCGCTTCCAAAACCTATCCTTAATCTGATTGGTTCGTCCACAAATTATAGTCTCGCTTCCGAAACCCGCTACTCTTAATCTGATTGGTTCGTTTATAAATTGTAGTTTCATTGAAACAATCGAAAACTTCAAGATGATATTCATGATCTATAAGTGAATAGTTGAAATTCTTTAAATAAATAAATCAATATAAAAAAAGAAATTGGATTTACTTTAGCTTCATCATCTAAAGATCGTTTTAAATCATCTACTTGACTTTCAAGGGATGATTTTGCTTTGGAATAATTTAAAATTTGTGCTTCATAATCTTGATTAATATGTAATAATTCAAATTTTCTGATGTTAATCTTGATTTTGCATTATTTAATTCAGTTAATTGTCTTTGTAAATCATCTGTTAATGATTTTAAACGATTTAATTGACTATCCAATCCTTCTAATTTTGATTCAGCTGATTGCTAGAAAAGTTAAAAAGTAAAAAAAAAAACAGAATAAAACTTCATTGATGTTTATAACTTCAAAGTTCTTCAATAACACACATGTTTAGAATAAATTCGAGTGCCTGAACTGAAACGGGGGTGTTCAAACTGAAGCAGAAGTACTCAAACCGTAGTAGGTGTTAAGTTTGTTTTACATTGTTCCTACATGTTCCTTTTCTACTCTTTTGTATGTTGTTTTATATACTACTTATTTACATTCAGTAGGCAGCTGTATGCCCAACAATTTTCACACTTGCGTTGTAACTCAAGTTGTGCTGTAACATTCTGGAATGTTCACAGATATCTTTAACGTTTAATTTACTTATCATTGTATTTATCATTATAATCACTGTAATTTAATTACTGTAACGGTTATCCACAGTTTTATGCATTTGTTTAAACGCAACAGTTTCCATATTGCTTGCTCTTGGTTCTAGTTTCGGTTGTTCATAAACTGTTATCAAATTTAGACACAGCTATCGGCTGTCTTTGGACTATCGTATGTTGTAATCATTCTTTATGTTACCTTTACAGGAAGCCTTTACTATTTCCATTCTTGAACGACGCGTTTAAACGCCTAGACACCTCACAAGTTGAGGTTTGTAACTAAATTTTATGTATTATTCAATAAAGAACCGCTTTTGTAGACAAATCGTTGTTTTGGAACTTCGATTTTGCGCGTATCTCAATCGGGGTTACTTGGACGCTTCGATAGAATTAACAGTAGGAGTATCCAAACCGGAGATATCTTCTGATTGTTTATCAATAAATACGATTACTAACCTTCAACATATAATACACTGTCTTTTCAAATTCTTTCATTTTAAAAAGATATATCATAGATACTTCCATTTGCATACCATTGTATAGTACTTAATTATCAGGAGGTATCAAGTGTTATATTGTCATGCCTTCCAAGTAACCGAATTCTTTTTGTTAATTGGATTCAGTAAGAAACTTAGTTGGTGTGCATCTCTTATATTATAAAGAGCATATTTTAATGGTTTAAACTACTTTTAATATTCATACTTGAGGGTGTAATCTCTGAAACTTGACAAGTGACCAACAATCTACGACCATAGTGTACACATCGAGTATACTTAGTTTGAAAGTATCTAATTAAAGGGAATGAGATAGAGACTCTTTTCAAACAGACCTCTATGTTTATTGGGAATCAAAGTGGTGTACTTGTAATTGTTATGTCTGGAGCATAGATTCTTAATAATATTACGTACAACTAGACTATTCAAACGTTAGAACCCTTCAAGCTTCTTAGAGCTTCCCTTGAGTTCATCTACGGGCCGTCCTCACAGTAATATATCAATGAGTACAAGATAATTTTCTGGTGATTTGTGAGCTGACGTAAGTCGCTAATTTAGATAGTAATAATAATAATAATAATAATAATAAATGACTAGTACGAGGTCACAAAACATCAGAAATCTATGTTTTCTACACTAAGATGTTACGAATATAGGTCATTTCCATTGTAAACAATTTATTTATAACATAGTATCCAATGGAGTGTCGGTTACTATGTTAGGCCCATACACCTTATTCTAGCTTCTGGATAGGCCAATCTATTCATTCCACTTGAGTCACATTTTGACCTTGTTAATTAAACTCTTATATACCTCGACTGGTTTTAGATGAGCGTATGTGTGTGCACATCTTGTCCTACTCACCATATTGTCTGTAACCTATTTTTATTTGGCTATAAATATTGATTAATGATTGATAACATAGAGTTAGCTGTCACGCCTTCCCCACCGCATATCGTTTCGTATCACCCTCTTCTCTCCGCATCATCCCTCTGAATGCTTGTCCAGATCAATGAGTGCACAAAATATGTGTAATCGAAAATGCATTCTTGTATTTGATTTATTTAATTCTGTTATTCCTTAACGCGATTCAAGTCGATAAATATATACGAGAATAGCCAGGATGTATATTTTGACAATAATCATTTATACGATCTAATTGGAGTTAGATCCAGGGCAACTAAATCAGTTAATACCAATTATATTTCATATCATTTTACTGACCTTAGCTTTTAGTGCACCATCTAATTGTCCTAGAACATTATCCACTTCCATGATCAAGTGACTTTTGTCCTTTTCAGCTCTATATAAAGTAAAGAAAAAGTTTACTATGAGTTGAATGATCCACTAAACACAGAAAATTCTAGAATAGGTCAAACAAAACCATAAAATAAAATGATCTTATAAGCAAAGTTGGATAGTGGTTAGCAGTGGAATCCAGTTTGAAGCCCGTTTCGTCCTATTCGGGACTCGTCAGCTAGATGTATCTGCATCCCTGAGTTGATGTTCATTCCTGGACTCGAACCCAGTACCCTTCGCTTCAAACGACATCGCGTTCTCCACTAAGCTACTGAATCCTAATAGCCATCTGCTTGCTTCATGTTTATATCGACCTATAATATTTTCAAAAGTTTCAATTACTTTTTTGATAGAGTCCTGATAGCCACGTGCTTGTGTGATGGGGTGAAATTAAATTCATTTGGTGTTGTTTACTTATATCGTCCCATTATTATAGGACGAAAGGCGCATCAAACTGGATCACACTGCTAGCCACTATCCATCTTTGCTTATAATGCTTGTGACTTGAGGCATTATCGAGGCAGTCCTGACAGTATGCATATATTCCAACAAGAAAGTGATCAATTTCAGTCTTAAACAACAATGAGAAGATACAAGTAGACAACACCAAGTAAAATTATCTTATTTTGAGTGAAATTGTACACTGTCTTACAAATATTTGATGTTGTTAAACATGAAATCTCAAATAAGATCAAATAGTTTTCATTCTTAACTAAAGCTTTAGATCTGTATACTAACTATGCTATTTTACAACACTATTTGTCGGTAGATGACTATTAAACTAACACATATGCACTATGCTGTTCAGAATCGGTTTACAAAGGAGTGGAATACATGTTAGCGAAGACATATTTCAGTTTAGTATTAACATATGCATACTAACCCAGGGTGTTCGTTCAACCTCTAGACCACTGAGCCAGCAACCAATGATGTTAATGTCTAATCTCAATCAATCCAGTGCTTCCAGGTTTTCAATGGTGGTTTAACTCCATTTGATTCATGATCTTAATCAAAAACTTCTCTTTATCATTTTAGTTACCATAGTCCTTTTATCATTGGCTATTTTTATGACAAGTGGAAAAAACCGAAAATCGAAATCTCTGAAAGCGATCTTTTATCTATTTGACCTACAAATAGTCTTTTCTAGTCAAAAGCTAATAGAATAGACGGTTTCAATGTATATTAGTGGCTTTTCTTGCTCTTGCAGACTAAGATGTATTGATCGTGTGAAATGTAATCTTTCTGTATCTTTATATGACTATCAAATGATGATTAGGAAACAAACAGAAGGTTTATTACGAAAGATTATTTCAGTTCTGATCATTCAAACCTACTGAAAATTCCATTTAAGATTATCTATAGTACTAAATGGACTGGTAATATAAATCAGAAACCCTGTACCCAGAATAATCTTCAAGATGTTTACTTTGTACATTGTTATGCTCTTAATTCTAATTTAGATATAAAACATCTGTGATGTCCTTCATCCTCAGTTATAAGCCAATCACAACTACTTGGTTACTATTTAGCTCTTGGAATTACTTGTTTATCTATAACATTATATCCTATTAATACTTCGAAAAACCACAAATTCACTAATGGTTAATATGTTATTAACATCTGATATCTCTAGTTGGTGTTATTCTTGACCCCAGTAGGTAACATTCCCTATTCTATTACAGTTATTAACAAAATGACTGGAAAAACGTTTCGGTCTTCTTTAGTTATTTCCGCTTCGCCAGAATATTTGCAGATTACTCAATCTTTCATCCTGCAATTAGATTCATTTGTAGTACTTTTCTGTGCCAAATGATATTATTTGTTTGGTGAAGACTCTGTTAAAATGCAGAGTCTTTTAGTAGCACTGAGCAACAATGCCAGAATGTTTGGAATGCGTTTCTCCCCCCCCCCCAAAAAATGCAAGTTGTTGCTTCAGGATTGGTCTGCGTCAACACCTGAACTAAGGATAGGGAGTGAAGTAGTCAAACGCATTGATAACTTCACTTATCTTGGAATTATGATCAGCCCTAACGGATTCGAAAAGCTCACTTCGCTTTTGCCAACTTACGTCACCTATGGTAATGGCGAGATATCCGCCCATCAATTAAGGGACGAGTATACCGCGCGGCAGTTCGTTCTGTTCTATTTTACGGCTGTGAAACATGGTCATTAAGAGTAGCAGATACTCGTAAGCTACTAGTATTTGACCACAGATGCCTTAGAAATATTGCTGGCGTCTGCTGGGATCACTAGGTAAGTAATAGTGAGGTTAGACGAAGGGTATTAGGGAATGATGGTAAATCAGTTGATGAGGTTGTGAATCTTCATCGACTGAGATTGTTGGGCCACGTGTTGCGTATACCTGAACATCGATTACCACGACGTGCAATGCTAACCGGTGTTGGAGATGATTTGAAGAAAGTTAGGGGCGGCCAAACCAAAACGTGGCATCAGTTCTTGAAGTCACTAACTTCTAGTCTGAGCCATGTTGGTAGATGCAGACTACTTGGTTGGGATCCGCGTGACTATCGTAACCAATGGTTGGAGACTCTTGGTGACATGGCTCAGAATCGATCACAATGGCGTCGGTGTATACACTCTGTGTCTTCTCTTAAACTTAGAGATTAAAATCGCTGCATATCTTTCTTTCTATGAATTAATTATTTCTTCCTGTACTACACCCTCATATGCAAAATCTTTTTTTATATACTACCACCATTGACTTAACTACTCCTATGAATCCGCTGTACATTTTGTCGTGCTAATGCAGTATGACAACTTGGACCGATGCACATATGTGCATGGTCCTATGTTGTAGCTGACTGACTGACTTTTCTATGTCTTAAAACATAATCTGTACAAGATTATGTCTTTTATTTCCAAAAAAAGCATAAGTATTTGAACTAGATAACTTACTTTCCTTTTTGTTTTTGTAAATTTTCAACTTCTAATGCTAATTCATTCAATGCTGTTTGATGTCGACGTCTCATTGATGTTTCAGCTAATTCAAGAGATGCATTAGCATTTTCTAAATCTTTACGTAGTTTATTAATTTCCATTTCACGACGTTTTAATAATTCTTGCTGTTATAAAATAGAAAAAGTATTATTCAATGTTAATCACTTGATGTCAAGTAGTTATTCCATAACTACTAAAGGTTTAAAATAAATCTAAGAAAACAAATAAGGGAAACCATCCCCTGTATGATGTAGTTGAAATCTAATTGTTATATCTAGAGCTTAGATACTTAATATACCGGGGCATAAAATGAGCACTCGAATGGTAGAACCTTCCTAAGTCACAAATGAGAAGATAAATGACAAATGAAAGGAATGTTATTCCGAAACAATGTCAATTATGGTATGCAGGGGGGGGGTATTAGCATTTGTCCAATAGGCAAGTTCCAGGTAGAGAGTCTGGAATATTCTTCCAGAAAAGATGACTGGATGGAATATCTTTGAGTCATCATGAGCTTCTTAGAGCTTCCTCAAGTTCACCCATGAACTGTCCTTACACTAATCTTGTCAAAAGCGACGAAATCTAAGTTTGAAGTTTTCCAAATCAAGTAAGTTGATTGTTGAACTCATGGAAAATTTGTACATCAAAACAGTCCTTAGAACTAAACACATCATTTAATATCATATACATGGGAGTAATCTATTAGTCAACATATAGAGGTTTCCATATCAACTATTAAGTTCTCAACTATTGTATTGTGGTATACAGTCTTCAATTTATATTGACTGATCACTATTCAATAGCAATACTAGTAGCTCAGAGGTAATTTCTCAAACTGTAAAGTTGATCTATGCGAGTTATAACCCTATAGTGGGCATCAATTTTTCCAAAACTTCAGGTATTCTTTACTAACGAGCATCATAAACCACAGAGTCTAGGTCCAAGAAGTCACTGATAAATGGACTGAATCATGTTGGTAGATGTAGACTACCTGGTTGGAATCGGCGAGAGGATAACAACCGATGGTTAGAGACCTTGAATGACATTGCTCAAAATCGTTTGCTTTGGCACAGGTGCATTCACTCTTTGTGTTCTCCCAAATTTTGATCTTCCGAATTCTGCATGTCCCTTTTTTCTCCTTCCAAATTTATTTCACTAGATTATACTCCTTGAATAACATATTCAAACCCTAATGTTTCCTGTTACTGCTCATACTTTTATTACCTCTACCACTATGGGATTTGAATTGACAATTGTATCTGAGTGTTAATGTGGTATAGCAACTCGAACTGATGTACGTACGTACGTACGTACGAAGTTCTACGTTGTTACTGACTGACTATGTGTTTTATCAAGTAATTATTACCATCTGATAGATTTCAATGGTCGTCAAGACCTTTAATAAAGTCCTTAACTTAAGCTTAATGGTTCTTATATTCATTTTTATAGACGTTATGATAAAAGAACAAGTACTTATGCTGGACACAACAGAAGAAGAAAAAAACAAACTAACTAATTGGGTAAATAGTTACCATGACAATGTTTATCTTCTATATTGATATATCTGGGAATAAGTTTGAGTATAAATTATATAACATTTAGGTGTTGATAGTAGTGACAATTATGAGAACAACACTGATAATATAACATTGTTAAACAACCTAATAGAGAAAAAAAATGTAAATATACACTCAATACTACTAATTATCTAATAAAATATCTATATATAGAGAGGGGAGGTTGGTAATAAGTAGTAAACTAATCACTAACTAATCTTACCACATTCTCAGTTATCATCTGAATAAAAAGTAGATAATTTTTTTATTAGTAAATATGAGAATAGAAGAAAAAGAAAAAAAATATACTGTACAAGGGTATTTGAATGTTTTAGATGATGAAGAAGATTTATAGTTTAGATAGATAACATTCATGGAGTTTTATTTCTTTGAATTGACCAAACTATCTAGTTCAGAGAACCAAACTCTATCAAAAAAGTGATTGAAACTTTTGAAAATATTATAGGTTGATATAAACATGAAACAAGCAAGTGTCTATTAGGATTCAGTAGCTAAGTGAAGAACGCGATGTCGTTTGAAGCGAAGAGTACTGAGTTCGAGTCCAAGAGTGAAAATCACCTCAGCGATGCGGATACATTTAGCTGACGAGTCCCAAATAGGACGAAACGCGCTTTAAACTAGATTCCACTGCTAACCACTATCCATATTTGCCTAAATATGAACGAAAAGCTTAAATATTTATTCATTTATTCTTTTCTTATAACGAATAAAGTAATTTGAACTAATTCTAATAGAATAAGATGTGCTATTTATTAAATTCTTTGATGTTGTTTGACATTTACTCTACTGTTTAACTTGCTCTTCAACTTGATTCATAGAAATATGTGTGAATTGAGTACTGAACTACATAAAGATATAAGATCATTGGTGAAACCTTAGATCATCCACCATTGGCCCAGTTAAAGCGCCGAATATTCGCTCTTCGTCCTCCCAATTTCGTAAGCAGTACCCCGTGGTGGGATGGTAGTGCGTAAGACTTCCCTGGTAGTAGTTGTATACGCGTGACCATGTTAGAGCATTTTAAGAGGGAGAGCTAACCCTCGGCCGTACCAGAGAATTTGGAGGCTCCAAAAACCTGCCCCAGATGAGAGTCGATCTCACGACCACAGATTACGAAACTGACGCGCAAACCTAATGCGCTGCTAGGCTGCAGATGCAGCAATGGTCAGCCTTAGCCCATATATGGAACTCCACATTAGCGACCAATCATGTCCTTGCCACCAGAGATTCAATTGCCGAGAATTCCCATACTACAACAAAACGGCTATCCAGTTTTTCATGGCTAAAGGTGGTTTTTTAACTTAAATCATTTTGTAGTATAGTATCATCAATTAAATAGTTGGTAAACGTGAATATAGTGAACAGTCGTTGTGCCTCAGTTCACTATTGCGTACCAATGTTGTTAAATAGAATTAAAGGCTTATTAGTGCAACATTAGATTGTGTATGATCATATTGTGCCAACAAACCGAAATTAAATGATTCAACTGTTTCAGTTCAAATCACTTATCAATGTATTACAATTATCACTTAATGTCATAGGTGGACATGAGTTTTCAACTTTATGGATTTCACAACCCGTGACACAAGTTTTCTAGTTTATGGAGTAATAATGAAACTGAATATTGTTTTTACCATAGAGATTGGGATAATAATAGTAGCTAACCGATTGAGAGAGGAGGTTTTGTGGATATTATAGTACTTTAATAGTTGAATTCATAAGTCAATTGAAGCTAGACTATTATGGAAAACCTGGAAACACTGGACGGTCGCTTCGTTCATTGGATACTGACTCAGTGGTCTAAAGGTTAATCGTCCACAAGAGACTGATTTCGAATCTTGCGAGGCGGGGTCGTAGATATACACTGCTGAGGAGTCCCATACTAGAATGAAATAGCCGTTCAGAGCTCTCAGGTTTTTCATGATTGTCTATCTTCAATTGATTTATGAATTCAACTACTAAAATCTACATTACTTTGATATTTTCAACCGATAAGTTTATAATAAAAAAATGGGATGGGACTTTTTATTTTATCGATTGTCATTCCAAGTTACACATGTTTTTCTTTCTCATGGAAATGTTAGGTATACATACATTGTGCTGTCGATTGAATTGGAAACAAATCTTTTGTTAGGTAACAGGTAAGTAAACATAGGAATAGAAGGATAGACATATGTTGGTTAGGATGATTTACGTTCCCAGTTCTGCACACATACCACACAACATTACTTTCTTTTATTAATACCTTTGGTGTGTGTGTATATGTATACGCATAGATACAAGAAGAGGGTACATATTCATACTGTTCTGATATTAGCACATTCCTTTGTTACGTAGTGTGTTTAATACTTGTAACTAAGGTTATATCTTTTAGAAGAAAAAATACTTTATCAAATTGCCATATATGGTCATTTCTGAATGAAAGTAAGCAAGATAAAGTAAAAAGGGATAATATCATTTTAAGGTCTCGAATATCACTATTTGTGTACCTGGGGATAAACAATGATATTTCAATACTATTCTAATTCTATTCCAATTATACGATTATCGGAGAACAACCTTGGAATATTCTAAGTATGACCGCACTTAGTTTATTGTCAGCCCAACGATGTAATGGTTTATAGAATACAAATAATGAATGAAAAATAGGTAATCTAGTGAATATTATGGATTTTTGTTGTCTTTGGTGGTGGTTGTAGCGGTGGTGCTGTTGTTGTTGATTGATATTTAGAATGCCAAAATTAGACAACAATTTACTAAAGGAAGTGAATCTTATCACATTCAGTCATAATATTTATCATATAAGATTATTTTCCTTTATTACATACTTGTTTGTGGATTGATTGAAGTTAGATATTAACATCATTGGATACTGGCCATCTCAGTGGTCTAGACGTTAAGCTTTCGCTCACTTGACTTATAGGTCCTGAGTTCGAATTTCACGAGAAGGGATCGTGAGTGCGTACTGTTGAAAAGTCCCACACTAAGACGAAACAGACAACCAGTGTTTCCAGGTTTCGATTGGGATCTAGCTTTAATTAAATCATGAATTCAACTACTAAATTACACGCTTGTTTATTCGTATTCCTCTGATTCAATAATCGGGTATACTAAGTACAGAAGTGGTTAAAATAACTCATAGTTGTTGAGATCATTTAGGTAAACTAGTAACAGGTTCTTAAATGACGGTGGAGTAATACGTCTATTTAGTGGAATATCTGTCAAAGCAGTCTGTTGTGTAACGTTCTTTAATAAAGTTGAAATCATTCACTACTCTACCTACTAAATAACCTAGGTAAAGTGCTTTATTAATAAACTGGTAGGCATTGTTTTCTAAGTGTCAGCTTTATGCATAACATATCGTTATGTACATCAGTGTTTCCATGTTTTATTTATTTGAATACATAAATATTGGTAAAAAGAGGCATCGCATAAATACTCGTCACACAAGTCACTTGCTTTGTGTGTGGATTGTGATACTGCACGGGTGCCAAAACCGAAGCAGGTGGTTTTCTTAGGGGACCACAACCAGAGCCTTCAACCTAAAGGTTTGGTCCATAAGGCAGTAAAGCAAGGTAAGAGGATGCAGTCTCATAGTAGTCGATGACCAACAATTGGTTAATACGTCATTTGTTCCCTCAAGATCGTAGAGCCCATGTGCACAATTGGTTTGGAGTCTGAGTTTTCCAACTCCCTAAGTGAAGCCTTAGTGTCAATCAACCCGTTTAAAGCGCCGGACATTCACTTTTCGTCCCCTCAACTTCGTAAACAACACTCTGTTGTAAAGTAATGATCTACAGTTAAGAAGAACAATTTAATCTACTGGATTAATATCATCATCAGGTATGGGAAAAGAAAAGTGATATGAGTGCTCAGAAAACAAAACAAAACCGGAAGCTATTAAACTCAGTTTTGAAAAGATATCGTTTGCTTAAATTTATTTGGTTTTTTTCTTGAATCTTCGCATTGATGTTTAACACTGATTTATCAATCTGTTATTGACATATGTGCATACTGTGCGCATTGCCTCGATATTGCCTTAATTCACACAAGCATTCTAAACAAAGATGGATAGTGGATAGTAGTGAAATCCAGAACACGCGTCTGAAGTGAACAGTACTGAGTTCCAGTCCTCCGGATTGAACATCAACTCTGAGATGAAGGTATATCCAGCTGACAAGTCCCAAACGGGACGAAACACGCATCAAATTGGATTCCACTACTAGCTATGATCCATCTTCGCTTAGAATACTAATCACTGTTACATAAATGCACATAGACCTAATTGTATTGAGTTAAGTGTTTTAATGATTTCCGAAATGGAAAAAGTGGCTTATGGCTAGAATAAGAATGAAACTCGATTGAACATACATACAACTGTGATTAAATAAGGATGGTATCAATTAGGAAGAAGAAGAAAAAGAACACAGCTTTTCATTACTTATCAATAGAGAACTTGATGAGTAAGGGTTAAAAAAAAGAAAGAAAAAAAGAAAAGAATAACTTACAGTTTGTGTTGTAGAACCGCCAGCTTCATCTAAACGTTCTGATAATGCATCAACTTGAAAACCTAAATCAGCAGCATGTCGTTCAGCCTATGGAAATTATAAAGGTTAAATAAAATATAAAAAGTTATAAAAGTTTAGAAAATTGGAGACAATATATTATGAACGAATCAATCAGATAAGTGATAATAAGTCTTAGATTTTAGCGTGCAATTCATTCATCCTTTTGGTTAAACAGATTCATGGCATTATAGTTGATGTCAGTTTGTGATGAAAACCCTAAATCGAATTCCTAACCATAGCCATTAACTAGTAAATCCTAATTGTAATTCCCTACACATGTTCATGACCCTCATTTGGTCTTGGTTATTAGTAGGTGGATACTTTCAAGGTTAGACTATCGTTGCTCAGGGGTTATCCACAAAATTATAGTCTCACCAAATTTACTATTTCAGTGAAAAGTATAAATATCCTAATCAATATTGAAACTTAATAGAAGCATATACAGTTCTATTGTAGTTTATAATAGGTAATACACTTCATAAAGAGTACTTCATTTGATATGGGTTAATACTCTTATATGTAGTATATATTCATTCATTAGTCAATTTCCTTATATATTTCGCTAACACAAATAGTTGTAATATTAACAAGTAAGTAATATAAATTCATACGTCAGTAATAAGTAGTTGATTAAGTTCAACAAATCTACTATTATCAGTTATAGGGTAGTGAAGATTATCGAGTTTTGACTGAGATCATGAATCGATTGATATTAGATCATCACTGAATATCTGGAAGTACTAGATAGTCGTTTCGTTTTAGCATGAGACTCCTTAGTAGTATACATCCATTAATCCGCACGTGGGATTCAAACACAAGACCTTCGGTGTCGCGTGGGAACGATTAACCTCTGGACCACTGAACCTCTAACTTAGTCTAACTTAAATAATAATACCGTTGGATACCCGCTTATTGGTCTAAAGATTAAGGGTTCGCGCGCAAAACTAAAGGTTCTATCTTCGAATCTGGCATGCGAAATCGTAGCTGTGCATTTCTGAGAAGTTTCATACTACGATAGAATATCCGTCTAATTCATCCAGGTATTCAATTGTGGTCTAGCTTACATTGACTCATGATAACTAACATAGTATTTCAAAATTTAATCAGTGTCACTAATATGATAGAGTGTTAGCTGATAAGTAGATTTAGTCATGTACCATATTAGGATTAAAAGTACAGTTTAGAAAATTACAAAAATGCTTTCATCCATAGTTATTTACTATTTATGGTTGCTAGTTGAGGAACATTGAAAACCCAAGATTGGTTAGTTGGTATTAGTTTCGAGGTGATGTCTATATTGATAATAAAATTTTGGCAAGACTATAGTTTATAGAAGAACCAATCAGATTAAATGATAATAGATCTTGGATTTTGGTGCGAAACTCATTCACTTATTTGTCTAAATAGCGTTTTGATATTTTAACTCTGAAAATTTTGAACTGTATACAGATCAAATTTATTTTCAGACCACGGTTATTAAAGGTGTGGTGTGTACTACTGGTATCGATAGATATAAGCAGTAGTATGTATCATCAATCGACAGTGAAATACCTGGAGGCAGAAGGTTGATAAAACTTAAAGAAAAGAGGGCGAGAACAAAGAGTGATTGGTGTGGAAACGAAAGAACAATGAAGACTGAGACGATTGATGGATATTTTGCAAATGAAGTATATACTGTATGGTTCTCCGATTATACTAAGAAATTTTGTAATGCAGTGTTCAAATACATTTGGCTGTTCCCCTATTGTCTTATCGTTCACTGCAAACGGATAGTTAATTCGCCAGTGTAAGACGTATGTTAATAGAAGACTATCGTTCATTTTCCTTATTATCCAATTTAAAACCATTAATATTGGTAGAACATGCTGACGAAGACACTCATGGAGAAAATACAGTTATTCTCGGGTGGAAGTCCGCATTTTGGCGAAATTCTCCCATTTAGCGAACAACGAGAAGCATACTACGCTCATAAGATTTTGAGATTTTGGAGAAGGTTTGTAGCTCAGGTGAATGATTTTGATGGAATTTCGTTCTCTGAACTGGATGGTTTGGTTGTGGAGCTTTCATCGTTCTTCTGAACAACATCATCAACATAAACTTCAAGTTTGTCGTTCAGATGAACAACGAAAGCTCCAAGACCAAACTATCCAGTTCAGAGAACTAAACTCCATCACAAATAATTTCAAAATGGTATTTAAACCTAATTGCTTTAGTTATGTATATGGTCATTTTAATCACTTAGTAAAATCTAAGAACCACACAGTAAATACTTCATTTGCAAAATACCCATCAATCATCTCAGACTTAATTGTTCTTTAATTTCCACACCAATCATTCTTTGTTCTCATTCTCTTTTCTTCGATCTTCTTAACTTTCTACCGCCAGACATTTCACTCTCAACTGATGATACATACTACTACTTGTATCTGTCGACATCAGTAGTACATACCACATGTTTATTAGAAAACTGAATAAATCTTTATTAGTATTTAATAACGGTGAGTAGTAGTAAAGTCTTATTCAGATAATTCATCATATTTTTAACTTCTCCTTTGAGTATATTAATTAGTCTGAGTATTTTTGAAGATAAATAGTAGGATCCTGTCAGTGAAAAGTTATTTGGAAAGTTTACAATCTTATTTATGGTTCAATATTATTCGTTATAAGATCAAAACATGCTCTACCAGTGGAGCTTATTCATGTCAGTTAAAGATAGGTATCTACCTCAATATTATGGAAGATGGTCGGGCAATTTCGTCGATTGGTTGAAGTTAAACATGAACACCGTTGAATACCGACCATCTCAGTGATCTAGAGATGAAGGAGATCTTACACTCAAATCAATAAAGAAAAAAAAGTAACGACTAATCTTGAACATCACGAATTAATCCTTCCTTCATTGTGGTCATTATGTGGCCATCGACGAGCATTTCTTTATTACGAAATAATGTAGTGAAAGATGTCGTAAAATTGAGCTGTTACTTAGATGATATCATTCCAAGTTTTAATGTCAGTGCTGTAGGACTTTGCATTCGCATAGATGTTTAGAGACTATTCATATAAGATCTGTTGTTATGCAGTTTCTTGATACTGTCAGTTTCTTACATGTCAGACATATAGATATTATCAACATATTTGAAGAGATTTTTAGGCAAAGATGAATAAAGGCTAGCAATTTAATCTAGTTTGTAGCGCGTTTCGTCCTATTTGGGGCTCGTTAGCTGAATGTAGCTGCATCTCAGAGTTAATCGCAATTATTTAACTTATAATTAACTAATATAAAATAATAATAAACAATTTTGTATAAACTTACTCGAACTCTTGCATCACGTTCTAAATCCAAAAGATCTTCTAATTCACGTACTCGACTCTATAACAATCAAAATAATACAGCACATTAAAAAAAATACTCCATTTAAAACAATAAATAATGAATCAATTAAAGCTAGATCACCATGGAAAACCTAGGATTGTTAGATGGTCGTTTCGTTCCCTATGATAGGATTTCTTAGCGGTGCACTTCCACAACCCCTCCTCATGGGCTTCGAACCCAGAACTTTCAGTCTCAAGATAGAATGCATAACCCCTAGATTACTGATCCAGTGATCTAGCTTTAATCAACTCATGAATTCAACTATTAAAGTTATTACAATCTCCACAACCCTCCTCCCTTCTATTCTGATAATAATTATACAATTTTTGAACTATTATTTATATTGAAAATAAGTAGTATCATATATCAATAGTGAAATATTAAAATATAGATACCTCAAGTCTTGTTGTACTTGGTGATACTCCTCGATAAATAGTTCTTGAAATTTTCACATGTGATTCTGTGTCGTGATTCATCATTTCTTCTTTTTTTTAAATCTAAGATGATCCATTTAAGAAAGAAGAATGAAAATGTCATTATGGTTAAACAAATAAATTAGTATGTTTACCATGGCAACTAAAAACGCCAAGTTATAATAATAATAATAATAATAATAATAATAAGAAGAAGAAGAAGAAGAAGGATACAGGAACTAGTTTTATAAATAATGATTGCAGCCTGCTTGAATATCTGGACTATCTGTTCTTGCTATCTGGATATTTCAACAAGTAATCTATCTCCTTGTTGATTTCAACACATCACTATGACCTATTAGTTACATAATCTATTCAGTTGCGTTTGTAAAACGTCTAAAACATATCACTGTACAAGTCATAAGAGGCCTAATCCAATATATCGTGATTGCTGGCAATATGCATTGAAAAGAATAAACATAATTTAGATGTCAATTAACTGAACTGTTAACTTCTAGCTGGTATCGACTCAATAGTTGGGGTTAAGATCGATCAAGAATGAAGAAATGGGAAAAGTTATTTAGTTACTATGGGCTGAAAACTCTATATTGTACCAAAAGTATAACATTGAATAAAGCCACTAATAATAATACATTGTGTATTAAATGAATATAGATGATATTACATAATAAAATTGATTACAAGTAAGTAACAAATACTTTAAGATTTAATACCAATTTAGTAAATGATTAACTTACATTAGTGAAAGACTAATTGTATGCTACTTTCTGTTATGATATAAGAAAAACTGAATATTTATGGAGGTGGAATAGTGGGAAATTCTAGTGAAATAATAGTAGGGTAGACATACAGTGTTGATATACACAAATTCAAATATACATTCATACTCTCCCCCCCCCCGCTTTATGCACACACATACACACAACAACAAACTGAACCATGTAAGTGTACTTTATGATGAAATGAAATAAATTCATTGTTTAAAACACTACACAAATCTCTTAAATTTATATAAAAACTCCCCTATGTTATTACTTAAACCAATCAAAAATATGTGTGTAACACAAAATGAAAAACATGTAGAATCGATTATTAAAACATAAATGATATTCATCGATTATTTTTTTTCCCAAAAATCCACCCACTGATACACATTGTATAACAAACAATACCACCGCCACCACCACCCCCCCCTAACAACAACAACAACATCGTTTGTACTTCTAATAATAGTTGAAGAGGTAAAATTAAATGACAGAAAATTAACCGGTAAAACTTTAATGGAATGTTTGATTCTATTTGGCTTTTATTAGTAATAAATATTTAAAGAATGAGATATGAACAGATCCAAAAAGAAAAATTGATTTATTTGTGCTTATATGAATTGTATTTTTGTTTTGTTACCTTGGTACTTCACTTATTGTTGTCCTGATTATATATATTTATATATTACGAAGTATTATCATTGTGTATGCTTACTGTCTTACTAACTTACGCCTGTTAACACTCATGGAGGAGCATAGGCTGCCCACCAGCATTCTCCATCCAACCATGTCATGGATAATCCTTTCCAGTTCTTTCCAGTTGTTATTCATCCTTTTCATATCTGCTTCTATTTTCCGACGTAATATGTACTTTGGCCTTCCTCTTTTCCGTTTGCCTTCAGAATTCCAAGTTAAGGATTGCTTCGTGATGAAGTTTGATTATTTGCGTAATGTATGTCTTATCCAATTACAACGTCTTTTCCTAATTTCGTCTTCAAACAGAAGTTGGTTTGTTCTCTCACAAAGAAATCTGTTGTTGATGGTATCAGGTCAACGAACATTGAATATCTAACGTAGACAGTTGTTTATGAATATTTATACATTTTTGATGATGATTGTGGTATTTCTTCGTACAGTAGAACTATTTCGACATTCGTATTGAAGATTCTCAATTTTATGTAGACTTGCAAACAGTTGTTTTGAGTTCCATATATACTTCGACTTTGGAATGCCGTCCTTATTTTGCCAATCCTCGGCTTTACGTCTGCATCAGATCCTATGTCCTATGCATTTACAACGCCTTTTCCGAATTTCCACTTCAGCTAGGAGCTGGTTTTTCCTCTCCCACAGAAGGTTGTTGCTGATTAGATCCGGCCAATCGATGTTGAGTATCTTGCGTAGACAACTATTTATAAATACTTGCACCTTCTTGATGATGGTTGTAGTAGTTCTTCAAGTTTCAGCTTCGTATAGTAGAACTGTTTTAACTTTGATATCGGTTGACAGTTGTCTCGAGTTCCGTATGTTCTCCAATTGTAGGAATGTGACCCTTGCTTCGTCAGTCTTCACATTTACGTCTGCATCTGATCCTCCTTGTTCATCGATAATGCTTCCCAGGTACGTGAAGGATTTAACATCGTCCAGAGTTTTTCCGTAGAGTATGACTGGTTTATGTACACTTATTCGGTATGAATATTATCCTCAAACTTTGCGCTCTCATTAATCTTGAATTTGAACAATGATAGTAACTTAGTAAACTATTACATAATAGTAATTATAAAAGAAAGATGGAAATTTTGATTTTCAAAATAAATGAACTTTACTATTCTTTATGAGCAAAGATGAATAGTGGCAATATCGAGGCAATCCGTACACTAAGTATGTATGCCAACATGAAACTGATCAATTGCAGTCCTAAATAACAAAACCAAGTGAATTTAAACTTCACCTCATTGTACAAGCAAGTGGCTATCAGAATTCAGTAGTTAAATGGATAACGCGACGGCATTTGAAACGAACGTTACTGGGTTCAAGTGCCAGAGTGAACATCAACTCTGAGATGTAGATACATCCAACTGACGAGTCCCAAATGGGTCAAAATGCGCTTCAAACTAGATTTCACTGCTAGCCACTATCCATCTTTGCTAAGAATACTCGTGAATTAAGGTCATATCGAGGCAATACGTACAAGTTGAACATATACCAATAAGAGACTGATCCATTGCTGTTTTAAATAACAATGGGAAGATACCAGTAAAACAATACCAAGTGAATTTATTCTTCTTTGCCTACATAACAATAATTGTATCAAAAGCTTAGGCACTTCATTTACAATACAAATTTATATCAATTAAAATGAATGGATTTAAATTAGAACGAAATATATTGTAAAAAAAAAGAAAGAAAAGAGAAAAGAGAAAAAGAGAAGAGAAAAAAGAAAGAAAAGAGAAAAAGAAAAGAGAAAAAGGGCATACATATTATCGGTTGACGTATTTACATTCGACTATTATCTTGAATAGATTGTATTCATTTACAATCTAATGATTAATGTATATTAAAGATGGAAATTTTGATGGTTATAGGGAAAAAAGGAAAACAAAATAAAAAAAGAAACTTATTCACAAATTCTAGAAATAATACACTACTGTTTCATGATTCTAGTTAATTTAATCTAAACAAATGAATATAGAGATAAAGAAGAAATTTCTGTAAATTGAACACAATATTTAACATAGGGGGGGGGGCGGGAGGATGGTATTTTATGGAGATCGTAGTGATTTTATTAATTGAGTCGACGTAAGCTAGACTGTCATGGAAAACTTGGAAACACTGGATGGTCATTTCGTCCTAGTGTGGGACTTCTCAGCACTGCTCATCCACGATTACGCATACGGGATTCGAACCTAAAACTTTACATTGACAAATAAATTCAACTATTTGATATGTGCCCGACCGTTGTTGCTACCTTGACGTGGTGGTTGAGCTTGCCTATCGTGATAAAGCAATCGACCTATACTGGCTGGAACAATTGTTCCTCAAGGTTCTGCCATACCAGATAGGTCGATTGAAGAACAGTAAGAATAAATGCAGCAAATCCAAGGACTGAGGGCGAAGTCGTACTGCTGACTGTACAGAGGTGTGACAGCAGTAAGGTGTTTCCTTCAGACAACCAGCATAACAGCGATACTGCCTTCTCACTAGGTGGGGTGGGGTTAGAAAAGGTCGACCATAAAAATGGATCTGGCTGACAGATTGACTGACGATTTTACATGTAAATGTTTGATTTTAATCTAGATTTGAAAGAAAATTTTTTGTTTTTAAACTGAATACAATAAAATATTATTAAAATTAAAATATTCTTCAATTAGAATTCAGTAGTATAAATGTGAACTTGAAATTTTCACATTTTTAATTTTGCTATTTAATAAAACTAATTTTATCAGTCCTAATTTAACTAATAATTGTAAATTTGCAGTGTTACATTCTGTATTCACAAGTGGTTAGGCAAGCTTACGTATTCTTTTTAGTATCTGGACTGGATCATGTTTTCGTCTAGGCCAATCAGGTCTGGTGTTATGCCAGAGTGATAACTATAAACATGCTCCAGATTTTGGGTAAGTGGGTCGACACGAATTACTTTTTCTGGTTAGTGTTTTTTAGCGAGTTAGTTTTCTGCGGCATCAGTTAGCCAACCTCAATGCCCACCGCCTGCTCTATCCAGGCTTGGGACCGGCAGTATCCACAGAGGGGCTCCAGGTGAATCCGTTGGACAGACACAATCAGCAACAGCATACTGTGGGAGAAAACAAATCAGATCCCAACGGAGGAACAAATCAGGAAGAAGTGCTGGAAGTGGACAGGAGACACATTGAGGAAAGCACCCAGCCACGTCACAAAGCGAGCCTTGCCTGAAATTCTCAAGGCCAAAGGAGAAGAGGAAGATCAATGGACATTTTACGCCGAGAAATCGAGGCAGATATGAGAAAAATGAACAAAAATTTGTTAGAACTAGAAAGGTAAGCGCAGGACAGATTGCATTGGAGAATGCTGGTTGCGACCCATACTCCATTAGGAGTAAGAGGCGTAAGTAAGTAGGGTCGACACGATATCGAACTGTGGTATGAGCGTGAGGATACTAAATCGTTTATTTACGACCTGATGTTTTGTCGGGGAGACGCAAGTGCTCGAGCCGCTTTCACACTGCGAGGCATTGAATCCTATCATTGCTTGACGTAATGATTTGAGGAAGATTTTTAAAAAATGTAAATTACAACTGAAAGT